AAAATATATTTGACATTTAAAAAGAATTTGCTTGGTAAAACAGAAGCAAGGAACTATAACTAGCCTACGATTATATGCAGATTGTGCTAATGGATCTAGATAAGCCTATTCATTGAAATATCACGAACTTCATGTCATAAGATTTATGATTGAATAGTAGAGATAATACTTTTCAATGATTTACTTCTTTTATGATTTCGCTGTTTTTATAGAGGGAGAAAAAATTTGCAAAGAGAGATAAGTAATAATATCCATTTATTTGTACAAATAATCAGTTACATTGGTGTAAGCGTATATGTATGTTTCGGGATAGGAAGGTGATGGTATAGTAGGGTGATAGGCAGTGGTTTAACTAATTAGGAATAATCTACAGAGTTTGTGTAATCGTGATCAAGTTGTGAGATATAAAGGTTGTACAGATTTATCCGGCGATGATTGCACTTTTCGCGATGGGACCACCAATGATTGTGGAAGCCAGCCCATGGCCTGCCGAGAGAATCGCTGGTCCAGCCAGCCCATGGCCTGCCGAGAGAATCGCTGGTCCAGCCAGCCCATGGCTTGCCGAGATAATCGCTGGTCCAGCCAGCCCATGGCCTGCCGAGAGAATCGCTGATCCAGCCAGCCCATGGCCTGCGGAGACAATCGCTGGTCCAGCCAGTCCAGCGCCTGAAAATTCAATCATTTATCATTGTATTATTTTTTAAAATAATTCCATACTCTAATACTTCCAAACTTTTATTTTTTAAAAAATCCATACTTAATTTATTTGAACAATTGCAATGCACTTACCGAGTACAAGACCGGGTTCAGAGATGATTGTGTGTCCGGGAGTAGATCCGATGACAGCGGATGGAGCAGCCACAGCTCCGGTGACCAAAGCCGATCCAGCGACGGGTCCGATCACTTTAGCAGGTCCAGTCACGGGCCCACTGATTACCGATGATCCGGCCACCGGCCCAGCCAGGCTTGCGCCTATGACACCTGGGCTTAGGATACTCGGCGCTGCTGAGCAAGCCGACACCAATGCTACGAGAACAGCCTAACACGGAATTAAACAAAACATAAGTTTTTTATACTCAATTGATTCCAAGGAGTCTGCACACTTATTTCAAATCATATGTTATATTGAAATTCATACGGAATTCTTGAATACATGTTATAAATTAATATTATAACTGGATAAAAATTTTAATAATATAGAGCAAAGAGGTATTGTGATATAATAAAAATAAAAATTTACCAAGTACTTCATTTTCGCTAGTTAGTTTCCTCACTGGCGTCTGTCACGTTAATTGTGGTACTGCCAATTGGCCCGATGGAATCTCCTTTTATACACCGACTTGACCTTGAATCTGCCGCACTTAACCCATATTTTTTCCAACAGGGAAATGCGAAACCTGTTCCGGGTGCGACCCATTTTTCATATGTAAGAATTTGCCTACGATACACGCGTCTGTCTGCGTGAGATTTTAAACGCCGCAAAAACGCCACCGCGTATAGTCGTTTCGTATACGTCGAAACTCGGCATCGACGTCATCCTCCCTCCGTAATACAATTCACCTAAGCTTCGCAACCCGTTCAGTTCGTACTTGTTGCGCATTACAGTTTCCACGTGAACGTCGTTACTGTAATAATCATTCAGAATTCATAGCATTTCTCTCACTGGTGCAATGAGTGTATTCAAATCGTAGTGACTTCGCTGATCTCAGATGATAAATTGGGATCTGTTGGCAATGCTCCGTACTCACTTGAAATTGAAGAGGAACCGCTAACAAGTCTTAAATGCTCGAGGAGTCTTTACGTTTTGCTTTCAGCGCGCAGAGTCTCCAAGTTTCCTCGAGTAACCGCGGTCCTCAAGCCAGAAGTAGACAAACATTTGCTCGCCGACGCGGCGGCTTAAAGGCTATCGAACCGTGGCTGTTTGAATTTCATATTTCTGCAATGAAATTCGTTTCGCTGTAGAAAATGTCGTTTCGAGAGTGTATTGGACAGACGTCGCCAGCTTTGAGATGATAATGCGCTAATAATTCCGCCGGTTTTCTCGCGGGAGACGGCCCGGATGCATCCTCGGTTCCCAAGGGCTGACGTGATTGAAAACTGAGATTAAAGAAACGGGAGAAAGAAGAAGGAGGACGACGTCGCGCGAACAAAGCTTGAATATCCAACGCGGTGACATCCTCGGAGAGAATACACGGCTGATTGGAGGCGCTGAAGCAATTTCCTACAATTACCCGCGAAGGTGGATAGGTATCGTCCCAGGACGCACCGTGGACGACGACGGCGAGGTACAATGGGCTGCAAAATAGGGGCCTGGCGATAATATGGAGGCGTTAGAACAATGCTGATCGTCCCCATTTTAATCGCACTAAGGTAAATGTCTCAATTTCTGTTCACGACTTCTACATTCACGCATTTTTCTATAATCTTCTACATTACCTTAGAATTATAGAAGAACAGAATAGAATTGTATACGTTATCATAAATAGAAAAATAAACCAGTGGGTGGAAATGGTGACGTGAATAGAAACTGGGACGTCGACGTTCACGCGTCTCGACGTCTTCCTTTTGTCCACTCGACTGTGGAATTCTCAGCCAATCCGAAGATCGCTCTGAATCCTGTTTGTCGACAGAATATCGAACCGGGCGTATTTCAAACTGGTTTCCTGATCACGATGTGATTAAAAGTGCAAACTCTCGATCAGAATATTCGTTCATAGCTGCCCACCTGGCTCTTTGGTCCGCGGTAAGCAGACCGGCTAATTGTCACCGGGCAAGGACAATACCGAAACTTTTGCAGTCTCGTTGCAATTACACCCCGCAGGGGCATTCCCCCCCCCCCTCTCTGCTCGAAACTTCCGGTTAACTGCGGCATTGTTCTCATTCCGACGTTCGGTCTTCTGTTCCTGCCTTAACTCGCGAACGCGTTAAACGAACTTGTTTACCGGGAACAATTGAAATTAACTAAACAACGTTTACCCGAATGCCGCGACTCCTATTCTCAGAATAAATCTTTTTCGTGCGAATACAATGGGCACACTTTTCTACAATTTTTTTTTAACACGAGAGCAACTGAAGTTTTCATTTAAAATTGCACAATAGCTATTTTCAAGTGACGATTTGTATTAAAAATTATTAAAACTGTTAAGAGGGGTTTGAACACTAATAATGCAAAATTCCTCTTCAAAGTGGCATGCATTTATTATCATACATATAATATTTATATAAACGATATACGTGTTGTTATGTACACAGAATACATATAAACGATACAGTGACGGAGGTACTAGCGGTAAATGACGGAGATCGTGGCGCGGTCGTTTTCAGAATGGCAGTCATCGGAGGAGATCAGTCGTGAATGGTCGTTCGTCCAGCATGATTACCAATATTTCCCGGCATCGGCGCGATAAATGCTACCGACTCCGGCTGCTCCAGCTGCTATGCTGCCGGATGGTCCAGCGATGTAAGCTGGGGCAGCGATCGGGCCGGAAAGGGCAGCTGGACCTGCTGCCGGACCGGCCAACACGGCTCCTGTATAATAACAATGATTATAATACAAATATAGCGAGCTTAGAAGAAAATTATACTAGAAATAAATCTCATTGGTCGAATTAATAGAGCACTGGATTTACACGATACCAGGTCGTTCTTTGACGAGGATGGATTACAATATTAGAGAGAGAAAAATCATCAAGGTTGTTGGGCAGGACGAGAAATAGAATATGCTTAGCCAAATGAAAACGTTTGTTTCTCTTAGAGAGATCGACAACGATCGGCAATGGATGCCACGGTAATACAACACAGAGACAGTTGACATTATAACGCGCGGAACTGCAGCGACATCTGTACTTATCGAAATACGAAGCAATATGGTTTGAAATTGAATATACCAACAAAGGTTTACGTTGTATATTCTTGCTTATAGCAATTTACGGTTTACTCACCCCAAGGCGCTCCCCATGGAGCAGCGATAGCTCCCCATGGAGCAGCGATGGCAGAGTGTCCACTTACGCTACCGGAGACCAATGAAGGGCCGGCAACGGCACCAGTCACCACTGCACCACCATCTACGGCACCGGAGATGCGAGCAGGTCCGATGGCAGGTCCGGCGAGGGCCGAGGGTCCTGCGATGGGTCCGCTGAGCGCAGCGGGTCCCAGGATCGGCCCGGCCAGGGCAGCTCCGGGTGCCCATAGGCCTGACGGCGCCGCAGCCGCCACCGAGAGAACCGCGAGGAAGAATACCGCTACGGGGGAATACATGGTCGATTCGGATGAGTTTCGCTTGTCGCCTATGTAGCTAGTATCGTTTGCCTCGATGGCTGGAGTGGATGTGCTGGCTTCTGGCTAGCTCGGTGGCGCTTTTATAGTCCTTAGCATTGTGTTGTGCTCTTGCCAACCCCAAGGGCGGGGCACAGGACACGCCAAACATTCTCTGCGGGCTGGGCGCGTGGCCGGCTTATCAGCATTAAAGACAGTCATCGAGCGGCGGCGACATGCTAACATAAAATGCCTCGACAGCCCACCCGTGCCCCCGGAGGTCGAACGCTCTAATTCAACGCAGCGTTGCATCCGTTTCGAACGCGGCGGCATTTTTATTTTGTCCCTGCGGCCCAGCCGCCTGGCCTTGCCATGTACGACACGACACTCCATCGAGCAGAAAGATCGGCACGCTGATACGTTGCTCGATATTTGACTGTTTAATGACTCTCGAATGCGAGCAAGTGGTCAGTGTGCTCGGAACTTTTTTCAAGCCTTTTTCCGGAAACTCAATGCATTCTTAAGGAACGAGTCTAAACTAGAGAGATTTATGATTTAATTACTCGTTTCATGAAGCAAAAGATCATGCGAACGTAATAGGTGCAGTAGAAGTATGTAGCAGGTTTCGTTTCATTGATGAGGCGATCTTCTCTGAGAAACCTGTCGCGCGCGACCTTGACGGGAGGAGGTTCATCTCGTTCTAGTCTATCTCCTAAACGAGGCGTTCGATCTGGCCGAGCACACCTCGACAATCATTACGCTTGTTCGCATTGTGCATCCGTTTAGGCGAGGCATTGGGTCGCAGTTGCCCACGCGATTGTCGCCTGGAATGACGCGTGTACAATGTCTCATTGTAGTCGGACACTCGTGCGTCCCGCGTGGTGGTGTGTCGCAGCCACGGCACCGCCATTGATCACCCGAGACCCGTTTCGAATATCATTGCTGGGCGTAGCACCTTTCGAAGGTGGTAAAGGTGACCGGCGACGACGATTGTTCGAATAATTGCTCGCGAAACTCTCCAAGGGCGGTTCTAATGGCACCGCGTTCCAGGAAACAAGAGACTTAAAAGTCTGCTCTTTCTTTAAGCAGTTAAAGAGCATCTCAGTTCATAAGATGCCGATGAAAGATCTTTTATGTTCCTTTGATTCATTTTTTCCACTTCTGAATGCTTCTCATTCCAATGCATCGAGCGTTGGCTCCGATTTCTCGACTTTCTGATACTTAAACGTTTTGAATTGACTAGCATAAAAGAGCGGTGCTGACCTATTTCGGAGTCGGAACGGGAATAGAATTTTTGACAGATTCATGAGCCAGCGACGGATCAAGAACGGCGGGATGGTTTTTGATTTACGATCGAGGGCGATTTTCACGTGCGACTAGGCGCCAGTTTCAAAGTCGCGGATAGAGAAACAGCACTGACAGATGTGTCACCGACGTCCGCTTGCGTTACCGGAAATAATACCCAGCGTTTCAATATCGAAAATCGGAACAGAAGTGGATTAAAATTTTCAGAATTGCTGTCGATTCTATTCGATTCCGTTCATCGATATTAGAAAATGTTTTCAATGCAATATTTGAATTAACACGTTCAATCAGCTAAAAGTATAATTCCTATTTCGTGAGATTTTCAAATAGGACGAAAGTCAGATTTAATTCACTGTACATGTGATGTAATGAAGGAATAACGGTACATCAATTAACATATTAATGTATTCTATTTTTATTAAAACAGCGGATCGAACAAAGCGATCTTAGGAGAAGCAGATCGTATCTACGCAAATTTTATTTAAACGGAACGCAGTTTCCAACTGTGTTTGCGTCATGCCAGTGGCACATTGGAGCGTGATCGAACCGGGGGGCTTTTTCACCCCGTCACGGTCCAGCGGGGCCATCAGCCCCGCCCTTACCCCCGATAAGTTCACCGACCCACGTGCTCGCGTGTGTCGCCTATAAAAGCTCACTTAGCATCAGCTTGCACAGCAATGTTCCTCCGTGATGGCTGACGAAGAGACGCCGCTCGGGGCCTCCGGAGGGACGTACCGCGGTTGCCGATCGAACTAGGAAGTCGAGTAACGCCGAGGGGCACCGATGGATCGAGTTTAAGTCCTCCTCTCCTTGGGCTTCCAAAACTAGCCATGGGAATCGGGAGCCTGGTCGATGGGACAATTCAGGTGAGGAAACATCGTATTTATTGCAGTTAGAAACGAGTTGCCAGAGACGAGAAAGGCTAGCTTGACAAATATTAAAGAACTCCGTGCTGGAATTGTTGTTATTTTTTAAATATGCTTGCCTTTGCTCGCAAGGATTTTTATCTACGTTTTCATTATTTTTTAAAACGCGATACGACTGCCGTCGACGCTGAACATAAAGATATCGCGACGTGAATAACGGTCAAGCCAAGGATAGCATGCAGCGAGATTTATCCCTTCGTTTCCACGCGGCGGTTACCTCGCATATAAATATCACCAGTTTGAAAAACAACGATTCATTTCCTTTTACGCGAGCACGTCTCGAGGTTAATATTTAAGCATCCGCGATCACGTCCTGTCCATATCCGCTCGACGCTCCGTCCATATCGAATCTTGAGAAAGCTAATGAATCTCAATCGCATTAGATTGCATGTTTTATGATTTTATAAGGAAATTCTATATAGACTGTGTAAATTACGCAACATCTGACTTGCTACTTTCCGTCACGTCGTTCTTATATACAATTTAAAATTAACGATCATGAGATATCAGAATCCAAAAGAAATTAATTATATAGAACGTTATTAATCTTAAAACACATTTTATTTTTTTGCATAGAAATATTTTGCATAAAAGTCCGCACGATTTTTGTGTTTCTCAGGCGACGCAGCCGACGGCAGCAGCGTCGGATCCATCGGTCGGCCTTCCTCGATCTCCGGCAACTCGCGAGTCGCATTGAAACGCTCCAGCCTCAACCGTATCTACCTCGTTATCGGCCACACCTTCTTCCAACCGCGTGCCGGGCTTCGCGAAAACAATCTCGGCCTTCTTGTTCAGCGATCACGACCGTCGGACATGGAATGTCAACGGTAGTCGACAATCTGTCGCCGGTTGTAATTCCCGTCCAGCTGATTTATCTTCCCGAGCGCGAAACCCCGAGCGAGGAATCTCGGGGTTGGAGAGCGTGGCCGAGCATTTAAACCGTAGGGATTATTACGCATTTCTACTCGACAGTGCTCGAATCTTCCCACAGAAATGGGGATTCTACGAATGTTGTTTAATTCCCATTGGGCGGGTTCGAGTGCCGATGAAATTATTGAGAAACGCGTTTCGGAATAGTCGATAAGTATATTCAGAATTCAAATGCGATTTGTAATTCGTAAAGGGTATATGTTAAACATTTCGAAATAAAATCCTCAGTTTATTTGGCGAGCATTGAGGTCGTTGTTTATTCGATAGTTCCCATTTAGTCTTTTATCAAGTAATTCACTTGGAAAATTACTCCATCAGCTTTTAAATCATATTTCTCTCGATTCAATATTATGCATTAATAACGCTTGAAAACAGCGCTTTATATTTAATTGTATTTCTTAGATATAAAAACGATTCTTTTTAACTCCGCTCGTTAAAGAATAATTGGCGATGAACGAAATAATTTGTCAAAAGTCTTCTGTTTCGACGGTGGAATGGTCGGATTTTGTCAGTACCCATAAAATGCCAATTAATCATATGTAACTCGTTAAATATTGAAGTTAGAAGAAAAATACATAAAATCTTTCTTGTAGAGGTACCTACAACTTTCATTTGTAGTTTTTTCGATATTTTGAGGAAAAGGAATTTTCATGTTCTCAACCAGCCTTTTGTCACAACCCGATTGTAATCCAGTTGTTAAAATCGCTAAGAGCATCAGTTTAGAATTTATAATTCAGGTACCTCCCAATCACAAGAACAGTAATAAAGAAGAGCTGGAAATAATTCAATACTTTAAAAATGCTATTCTTCCACAACCTACATTTCCCAGCAGCAAAATTAACGTTACGGTAGATGATGTATTACTATTTTTCATTTATCTAATCGAGTGACCTTTTGGAATTCGTGCGAATCCGATGACGAAACCATTGATCGATGTTTTAGAGTAAACGCGCAGCAGATTGGTATGACGATGTATCAAATTAATTAAGAGACTGAAATAAACTCCCAGTTCACTCCAAATTAATTTGATAATTCAATTTATAATACGTATAAACAAAATACCTAAAAATTTATGCAAGAACATTTAAAACTCGAAAAACAACGAAGCTGTTTTGGCCTAAATTTTAAAATAAAATTTGATAAAGTCCAAACGTTTTGTCCTTCACTCGACAAAACGAATTCCAAATGACCATACGAAAATGAAGTGAAAAAACGATAAACGGACTGCATATTTATTTTACTTCAAAACGTTTTCACGACTTGCTGCAAAATTTCCGGTCATTGTTCGCTGTTAAAAATACTGGGCGAAGCCTGGTGAGGTAGTGCTGCTGCGAGCACGCGATAATTGTCGTGTGTACAGATATCGCGATAAGCGCCGAGCCGAGAGATAACACGAATCTCAATCCGTGTACCAGCTTCCATAAATTATACCCGGTTGATTCGTTAGGCCAGCGTTATTCAAATCCTCAAGACCTCGCCCAGACACCTGTGCCCACTGACCAATTTCCACCTTCGCCACTAATCCTCGCGTTCCATTGTAGATTGACGAACCGTATCGCAAGTCACGCACCCAACGACCTTATCCTGTTCTCTCGAGTCGAGATAAATGGTACAGATCCGTGTGCAAGTCTCGCTTAATAGGCACTTTGTATAACCAGTATAAAAACTGTTATCATTGTGCAACGATAAGAGCAATAGCGATCTAGACCTGATTAGAATTAATTGAACATTGATAAGACATCTACAAAATACTCCTGCGATTAATTGTGATAAAACTACATACGCACTAATAAGTCCGTGTATGCCAAAATGCATTTTCTGCAACAATATTCAGAGATTGACGTATAGGACTTTTGAAAGAAATAAAAATGGGCTCTCTGTGGATGAAATGGAACGTGTAACGAATTTAAAGGGAGTATACTGTGATGTAACAATATAACCCGATTAAGCCATCGCTCGCGAATGGCACTCAAAATTTAATGATGAAACTGAACGTGTGTAATTAAAACGTATCCACTATATATAATTACATATATTATTGTAGGAGATCAGAGTTATAATAATTACATTATAAATTACCTCTAAATTTTAAAATAAAATTTGATAAAGTCCAAACGTTTTGTCCTTCACTCGACAAAACGAATTCCAAATGACCATACGAAAATGAAGTGAAAAAACGATAAACGGACTGCATATTTATTTTACTTCAAAACGTTTTCACGACTTGCTGCAAAATTTCCGGTCATTGTTCGCTGTTAAAAATACTGGGCGAAGCCTGGTGAGGTAGTGCTGCTGCGAGCACGCGATAATTGTCGTGTGTACAGATATCGCGATAAGCGCCGAGCCGAGAGATAACACGAATCTCAATCCGTGTACCAGCTTCCATAAATTATACCCGGTTGATTCGTTAGGCCAGCGTTATTCAAATCCTCAAGACCTCGCCCAGACACCTGTGCCCACTGACCAATTTCCACCTTCGCCACTAATCCTCGCGTTCCATTGTAGATTGACGAACCGTATCGCAAGTCACGCACCCAACGACCTTATCCTGTTCTCTCGAGTCGAGATAAATGGTACAGATCCGTGTGCAAGTCTCGCTTAATAGGCACTTTGTATAACCAGTATAAAAACTGTTATCATTGTGCAACGATAAGAGCAATAGCGATCTAGACCTGATTAGAATTAATTGAACATTGATAAGACATCTACAAAATACTCCTGCGATTAATTGTGATAAAACTACATACGCACTAATAAGTCCGTGTATGCCAAAATGCATTTTCTGCAACAATATTCAGAGATTGACGTATAGGACTTTTGAAAGAAATAAAAATGGGCTCTCTGTGGATGAAATGGAACGTGTAACGAATTTAAAGGGAGTATACTGTGATGTAACAATATAACCCGATTAAGCCATCGCTCGCGAATGGCACTCAAAATTTAATGATGAAACTGAACGTGTGTAATTAAAACGTATCCACTATATATAATTACATATATTATTGTAGGAGATCAGAGTTATAATAATTACATTATAAATTACCCCAGCTAGCTCGTTATCCAACAAAATGTATTCAAATGTGTTATTAAAAAATTGATAGAATCATAACGTGTTACATATTATTAGGGAATTGTAACGAACGGGGAACGTCGCGGTTTTAACGAGCGTCGATGGTACAAACATATTTTCACTAATCGTAGTTTGTAATATTATTTGACACTTTTTTTTAAACAAGTTTTGCACGTTACCAGTGACCAGTGTGAATCGCACCGTGGCCGGTGCCATGCGTTGTGATTTTACCGGAGGGACCAGCGATCACTACGGAACCTGCGTTCGGTCCAGACACAGCGGCGCTTCCGGCATGGGGACCAGATATTGCGGCGCCGTGTGACGCTGGTCCGGCGAGAACGACGCCGTGCGACGCTGGTCCGGCGAGAACAGCACCGTGGGACGCTGGTCCGGCGAAAACAGCACCGTGGGACGCTGGACCAGCGAAGACTGCCCCATGGGACGCTGGTCCTGCCACGACCACCCCGTGACCACCGTATCCTGCGTATCCAGAATATCCTGGGTAGCCAGCGTACCCTGCGTACGCTGGTGCGGCGTAACCTCCTGCAATTCGATTTCAAAGAAAATAGGTATTAAGTGATATTTCAGCTTTTTAGACCGGACGCTCGTAACACAAAAAATGAAACAATTTTTTACAGTCTGCCATTGATAGGGGAAGTATTTACAGTCACAAGCTGTAGATAGATGTACTTAAAAATCTTCGTTACGTGTTAATGCATACTTAAACATTAACTTTAGTTAGCAAAAAGAACGTAGTTCCTTGAAACAACTTTCAAACAGTCTGCCATTTATTTGAGCACAAGGCAAGATTGCGCGATCCATGAAAAGCTTATTGGCAGATGGTTTTCTCCAGTACAAGAATAAAGCGTACTTATGTTAGTTAGCAATTAAATCGTATAAGAACAATCGTCTAAGAACAATTTTTTACAATCTGCCAAGCTCAATTTAGGCTAATGTTAGCGTAAAGTTGACGAAATTTCACAAGGCAGACTGTTTGAAAGTTGTTTCAAGAAACTACGTTCTTTTTGCTAACTAAAGTTAATGTTTAAGTATGCATTAACACGTAACGAAGATTTTTAAGTACATCTATCTACAGCTTGTGGCTGTAAATATTTCCCCTATCAATGGCAGACTGTAAAAAATTGTTCCATTTTTTGTGTTACGAGCGCCCGGACTATTACGCACTGCACCTGGGAATGGA